ACCTGGGCCTTTCCTTTGGCTTTCTTTGGCTCCTTTCAGATGGATGTTTCCACTGCTTCAGGATGTTTCATCCCCTGGGGCTTTTCCCTGTGCTTCCCAGAGTTTTGCTGAGGCACTGGGAGACTCGGCTGCCATAGAACACTGTGGCACGTGGTGGTTTTCCGAGCCAGTTTCCACTGGTTCTGCTGCCTGTACTGAAGCTCGGGGGTCCTGGTATTGGTGCTTGCCTGCTCCACCACCTGCAGTTCAAGATCTCCCTCTGGTATGCTGAAGTGGGGCTTTCCACTAGCTTGCTGGGATGCCTCCTGTTCTGCACTGCTCTCCCTCCCCAAGGGCAAGAGGGGCCTTTCCTATTAATCCCTCAAGCTTCCGGGGCTACTGGACTGCTACACTCCTTTCTTCTGGTTTAGCTGTTCCAGAGTTTTTCCTGGGGTGATATTTTCTGGGCTTTCAGAGGTTAATAAGGGATAGTGAGAGTGACCTACTTGTTACTCCACCATCTTGGCTCCCCCAGAATTCTTTCTCTTTCTTCTAAAACCCTTTTCCAAATTTTCCTAAGTCTGTCTAGGGTACTATCATCCTTTCAATCATTCAGGTTCTGTAATGTTGTAGTCATCCTTGATTCCAAGTTCTCCCTTATCCCAAATATCCAATAAGTTGCCAAGTCTTATGGATTCTACCTCCATAGCATCTCCTCTCTAGATCCACTGTAGATCTGGCCCTAACAACTTCTTGCTTGGACTATTGCAATAGCCTCATCTCTCCCCTTTCCAACTTATCCTCCATACTACTGCCAAAGTGATCTTACTAAAGCACATCTCTGATCATGTCACTGTCTTGCTTAATAAACTCCACTGGCTATTTATTGCCTTCAAATCAAATACAAACTCTTCCATTTGCTTTTCTGTCTCTGATTTATCTTTCTAGGCTTATTATACACCTTCACACACTCTGTGGTCCAGTCAAACTCTATAGTGTTACTGTTTTTAACTTCACATTCCATCTCTTATCTCTGTGCCTTTGTATTGGTTATACCTCATAACAGGAAAATACTCCCTCTTTACCTCTGCCTCTTAGAATCCGTAGTTACCTTCTAAGTTCAATTCATATGCCACCTTCTATAGGAGGCCTTTCCTTCTCCTGCCTGTCATTACCTGCTATTTATTTTGTATTTACTTACATGTTGTCTCCTCTTATAGAATGTAAGCTCCTTGAGGGCTGGGATTTTTGTCTTTGTATCCTTATCATCTAGCACAGTGCTGGCACATGTTGTTGTTGTTGAGTCATTTCAGTCACGTCTGACTCTTCGTGACCTCATTTGGGATATTTTTTTGGCAAAGATTCTGGAGTAGTTTGTCGTTTTCTCATCCAGCTCATTTTTACAGAGGAGGAGACTGAGGCAAATGGGGCTTAGTGGCTTGCCCAGGATCATACAACTAGTAAGTGTCTGAGGCCAGATTTGAACTCACGAAGATGGGTCTTTATTTTTTGATTCTTGTTTTTTTTTTTCTTAATAGTATTTTATTTTTTCCTAATTACATGTAAAGATAGTTTTTTTTTATTTTTGTAATTATTCATTTTTGTAAAATTTTGAGTTCCAAAATTTTCTCCCTTGCTCCCTTCCTTCTCTACTCCCTCCCCAAGACAACAAGCAATCTGATAGAGGTTATACATGTACAGTTGATGAGTCTTGTTGATCCCAGATCCAGCACTCTATCCACTGTGGCATCTAGCTGCTCATGCTGGCATATAACAGGTACTTAATAAATGTTAATTGATTGATTAATTCTATATCATTATTGCTCTTGGCCTCTTTAACTCTGTTCTTGGGAAGATGATCATGTTGCTGGCTGTGGTATCTGGGATATTTTAACTTTTCCATTATGGTGACTGTTTTATGTTGGTTAAAATGCTCTACAAAATGGTGCTAATCAGAGTCCATATCTTAACTTTTATCTGTTTCTAATTTTTCCAGAATCAGCATTTTTTTTAAATAAGTCAGGATATGTTTTAATTGTATGCAATTTTCATCTTTTATCCTGTATTCTAAATTGGTGTTACTTTTGAGGTTTGCTCTGACTGGTTTATAATCTGCACCCTATCAGCTGATTCATTAAATGACTACATAGGAATGAGGATCATATTTATTTTGTGGTACTTCATGGGTTTGCCAAATCTTTTGCCAAAGATTTCATAGTATCTTGTGGTCAGTTACTTAATAAGAGCCTCTTTGCTTTTATGGACAGCAAGATGGTCTGTTGTGCCTATACTCAAAACCCTTCTAGCTTGCACTTTCCAGGTGTAGTATTCGAGAACTGAGTCATTTTCATACCTTAATAATACAATAGAGTTGCACTTTTTAATGAATAATGTTTGTCTATGAAGGAGTTTGAATTTTATTCTATAGAAACTATAGATGTAGTGAAGATTTTTGAGCAGGAAATGGTGTTTTGAGAAGATTGATCTGTTGAAATGAAAGTGTTCTCCAGTGTTATAAAGGATGTCCTGTGGAAAGTTGAAATTTAAAAAAAAACCCCACAACCTACTTATAAGCTCTGCAATGTTTCTATTTGTTGAGGACATTGTGCTTTGTGACCCCTAGAGCACTTTAGGGCCTCCTTAATTTGGTCCACACTGGAAAGAGAAATAGGCTTAGCGATCTGCACTGGAAGAACTAAGTAAATGATGAATGCATAGGAGGAGATCACATGTGGGCAATTAGGTTAGTTCTTTCAGTAACAAGTTGCTTCTTATCACGAGATCCAATTTTTAGAAAAGCCAATTCTTTTACTGATGCTATATTGTTTCACATTATGGAATACCATAATTTAAAAGAATCAAAATAGCAGGTAGAATAAAAAAGTCCAATGGAAAAATGCACAGAGGCATTAGGAGGACTGCGAAATACCAACAATAATGAATTGCATGTTGGAAATGGCATAAAAGTCATTAAAGACCTGTATGGCTCAGAAAAGAAGTGGAAATGGTTTTCTTTTAAAAGCCAAATCAAGTCTACAAGCATTTATTAAGCACCTACTATATGCTAGGCGTTGTACTAAGTACCAGAGATACAAAGGCAAAAAATAGTTCTTGCTTCCAAGGAGTTCATAATCTAGAACAGAAGTTCCCAAACTTATTTGGCCTACTACCCCTTTAAAAAAAATTACTTAGTGCCACCTGCCTGGAAATCTATATTTAACCCTTTAATAGTTATTTTGAAATTTGCATCATTTCAAAAAATATAATTTTTTATAAAAATGACACATCTTAAATTTAATAATTTGTTGTAAATTTGTGGTTTTTTTCCCCACTGCATTGAAATTTTGATGATGCAATATTGTGTCATGTAATTGTATGGTATCATATTCCTGCCAATGCATGCTGGACTTCCCAACAATGCATGACACATGCTTGCCTGCCAACATTTGCTTTTAAAGCCTGTCAGTGGACTTAACCACTGATCAATTATAACTTGCATTTTGTGTGTTTATTTGGAAAATATTGTAATCAATATGACCTTAACTCTGTTAATACAATAGATGAAACATGTACAAATAGTTTTTCAAAATTCTCTTCTCTTTTTTCCTTATGTTTCCACTGCCCCCTTATTTTTATTCAATGCTTCCCAATTGTACCCAAGGCTACTACTGTGCCTTCTCCCCCCTCATCATTCCAGCACCCCCCAGGGGGTGGTATCACCCACTTTGGGAACCTCTGAGGGGGACACAATGTGCAAACAGCTATGCACGAACAAGATATGTACAGGATAACTTAGAAATGATCAGCAGAGGAAAAGCATTAGCCTGAAAAGGGGGATTGGAAAAGACTTTTATAGAAGGTAGGATTTTAGGTAGGAGTTGAAGGAATACAGGGAAATCAGATGATGAAGATAAAGGGGGAAAACATTTCAGCCACAGAGGACAGCCAGTGAAAATGCCTGGAGCATCAAGGAATGGCAAGGAGAGCAGTATCGCTGGATCATAGAGTGAATACATGGTTGGGGGAGAGGAAAAGGAGGTATAAGAAGCCTGGAAACATAGAAGGGTAGCCGCGCTATGAGAATGGGTTTGAATGTTAAGCAGAGAATTTTCTATTTGATCCTGGAGGCAATAGGGAGCCACTGGAGTTTATTGAATGGAGGTGGAGTGTTAGTGACATGGTCAGACCTGTGCTTTAGGAAACTCGATTTGACAGCAGTTTTAATTGAGTCCTGGTGGCAGAATCCAGATTTCAGGACATAATGGGGGGGAATAGGTGATGTGGAAGAGGAGGGGGCTTTTGCTTCCATGAGTTTGGTCATATTGCTAGGTCAGAATACTAAGGACTCAAATGCAAGGAGATAGAGGCCACATAGGCATATGTGAGAGATGAGATGAAGGCCAGTGGAGTGAGGAAGAGAGAATTAAAGGTTCAAAGTCCATTTTTAGTCACAGTGGAAGGAGCCGTCATATGTAAAATGGAAGATGAAGTTATCGAATTAGATCATTTCTTCACTTCTCTAGCTAACTCTTCCCACCCCCCCACCCCCCATTTAGATATAGCTAAAATTCAGCCTCCAGTGTTGTAAGGTATGCTGACCATAACCAGACCATAGACAAGCTAAGTCTGAAACAGCTAGGTTGTATAGAGTGCTGGGCCTGGAGTCAGGAAGACCAGAGTTCAAATTCAGCCTCGGACACTTATTAGCTGTGTGACCCTAGACAAATCACTTAACCTCTGTTTGCCTCAGTTTCCTTAATTGTAAAATGAAGAAAATAACAGTACTTGCCTCACAGGGTTGTTGTAAAGCTCAAATGAGATAATCCTTATCAAATGCCTGGTACATAGTAGGCACTATACAAATACTTATTCACCTCCTTTTCCCCTAGGAGGGGTCTTTTTACGTTATCAGGTATTACAACTGCAGTGGTGTTTTTTACAAGCCTGTTCCCCTGTGCTCCGTCTTCTTGTTGCAGACTGTAGGTTAGAGCTCCTGCTAATGCCTCTCTTTCTCATTCCAGGAGCTATCACAGTTCAGTGGCGGGTGAGACCATTGTCATGTCAAACTTCAGAAGGCCCTGTAGAAGTTCTAAACAAAAACTTGTGGAATCCTACAGAACCAGAGTGGAGCTCATGGGAATCTGGAAACAGCAAGAATGGGCTTTAGCAGTTCTATACTTAGAAATTTCCATGTCTTTTTCTTCTTCTTCCCTTCTCACAAGAGATTCATAATTGTTAAGTACTGAAATAAAACTGGTTTTTAGAAGCTTATCGAAAGATTTACTGACACTTTGAAAAATGACTGTTTTTACATTTGGAGACACTGCTATCACATCCACCTCATGGTAGAGTGTGCACATGTACCTACACAGATTTAACAGTGTACGTGCTGCAGCAGGAAGATGCTAGTTTATGCTTTCTCACCTTGGGGCTGCTAGGAAGACTGAGACAGCATGTTGAGAGCTATGTCACAGGAAAAAAAAACTAGACAATGAGTACAAGAGGCCATGGGTCATAAATACGGTCTAAAAAGTACCATTTGGACTGAAGTGGAGAGTTTCTGAGAGGGCTGATGAGAAGATGAGGCCAGAAAAGTAACCCAGGGCCAGGCTGTGAAGGGCCCTGAATGTCAGGCTCCTTAAATACAAGTTGCTCAGATTTTCTTCTGTAGAAAAGAGGTAGATGATTTCAAGGCTTCTTGCTCCATTTGTAGCCAAAACCATTAGCTCTACTTCTCTACCCGTTTGTCACTAACACCATCTCTGCTGAGGAGATACATGTGGGTAGCATGCTTAGGGAACCCATCTGTAGCCAGCACAAGTGCTAGAAAGACATAGATGGAAGGGAGAAAAAGGTTTGACCTTGAGTATGGGAAAACTCCAGACGGTTCTATTGCACTACAAATGATATTTTCTCTTAGCCATTCAACCAGTTCTGTTTGGCCTGAGTTAAAACACAATTGACTGCTCATTTCAACTGCTAACTTTCTTTTTTTTATTTAGTATTTTATTTTTCCCCAGTTACATGTAAAAACAAATTTTAACATTCGTTTTTAAAACTTTGAGTTCCAAATTCGCTCCTTTCCTCCCTCCCCACCTCCCTTCCCTCATTGAGAAGGCAGGCAATTTGATATAGGTTATACATGTGTAGTCATGAATTTCCATAATAGTCATGTTGTGAAAGAAAACATGGACCAACAAAAACACTCAAGAAAAATAAAATACAAAAGTATACTTCAATCTGTATTCAGATACCATCAGTTCTTTGAATGGAGATGGATAGTATTTTTCATCATAAGTCCTTCAGAGTTGTCCTGGATCATTGCATTGCTGAGAATAGCTAAGTCATTCACATCACCTGCTAGCTTTCAATTGAAAGGGACCATCTTCCTCTAGGTTTTTTGCATTATGGTATACTTGGGCTTCCAGTTACATTGTAGAATGAGTCTACATTCATCCTTCTGGTCTCCTGAAAAGCAAAATGCCTTCCCAGTGTGGCTTTCTTTCTTTTTTTGTCAGAGCATCATAGAACCATTGTGAAACTAGCTTGTTAATGAATTAATGAAAAAGCATTTATTAGGCACTTATTCTATGTGCATACTCTTCAGGGAGCTTACATTCTAACAGGGGAGACAACACACAATGAGGAGTGATGGTCAGAGAAGGGTATTTTGGTTTGGTAAGTTATAGTGATAATGATTGGGGCCACGGGGGAGTAGATTGATACCGCACATCCAGGCACAATGGCAGAGTTGATTTAATTTTGGTAGAACTGGAGAGCACCTAAGCAAGGCTAGGACCTCAATGATATAATGATTCAGGAGAGCATTCAGGACCGTGGGACAGCAGCTTGTAATCTGCAGGAAACAGTTTCTGGTGTGGGCAGCAAGTTGGTTGTTGATCGTGAATGGACAGTTTTTAGCATGGAAAGAAATCTTTGGCAGGATTTCCTACTCAAGCGTGAGTTGAGTAGATGACCTACCCACTTGAGATTGTACAGTTTTATATAGGACTTTTCTGGAGTAAGTTGGTAGATTAGCACAGTCACCATCAGGCTGCCTGTAATTTAATAAATTAATTTCTAAATTACAACCTCTAGGACTCTGGATGGCACTCCTGGTCTGATTTTTATTTTTTCTACTTTGATAATGTTTTATTTTTTTCCAATTACATGAAAAGATAGTTTTCAGCATTTCTTTTTTTGTAAGATTTTGAGTTCCAAATTTGTCCTCTCTCTCTCCCCTCCCCTCTCCCCAAGACAGCAAGCGATCTGATATAGGTTATACTTGTTCAATCTTGTCAAACATATTTCCACATTAGTCATGTTGTGAAAGAAGAAACAGAACAAAAGGGAAAAACCACACAAAAAAAGTGAAAATAGTATGCTTTGATCTGCATTCATACTCTATAGTTCTTTCTCTAGATATGGATAGCATTTTCCATCATGACTCTTTTAGAATTGTCTTGGATCATTGTATTGCCAAGAAGAGCTAAATCTATCATGGTTGATCATCTCACAATGTTGCTATTATTGTGTACAATGTTCTCCTGGTTCTGATCACTTCTGAGGTGGAATATTTTAGCAATTGTCCAAAAACACATTTTGACACCTAGAAATTTAGCTTCTTTGTTACAGCCTCAAGCCTAGATCATGGATCATACAGGCATATCATTATAATTCACTTAATTGTTTTTTAATAGCCAGTTTTTGGATTAGGTTTTACAAAGTGTTGTACAGATATTCATTTGTTCAACAAACATATGCATACTATATACAGAGTATTGTGCTCTAGGGGAGGTACAGAATTTAAATGAGATATAGGTCTTACTTTCATGGAGTTTACAATCTAATAAGGGAATCAGACATAAACAGATGTCTATTATGAGATATATATCAAGTAGCAGTACAGAAGTGCTATGTGAAATCTGATAAAGTAGATTGTTATAATTCTTGATGATGGGGATCAGTGTTGAGCTTTAGAAGATGGTAGAAAGAGAGGACATTCTACCTATAAGGTTGTGAGCAAAGGCATGAAGTTGGGAAAATGAATGGATGCCATATTTGGGCTTTTTAAAAATTTTTTTAAAATTTATTTTGATATATCAACAATCACTTCCATAAGCTTTTGAGTTTTAAATTTTTCTCCCCCTTCCTCCCCCTTTCCCTCCCCAAGATGGCATGCAATCTGATATAGACTTTACATATACATTCCTATTAAACATATTTTCACATTAGTCTTGTTTTAAGGAAGAATTAGACTCAATAGGAGGAACCACAAGAAAGAGGAAACAAAACAAAACAGAAGAAAAAAATAGCAAATAGTATGCTTTGATCTGCATTCAAACTCCATAATTCTTTCTTTGGATGTGTATAGCATTTCCATCATGAGACTTTTGGAGATGTCTTAGACCCTTGCATTGCTGAGAAGGGCTAAGTCTATCAATGTTAGTCATTGCACAACGTCACTATTACTGTGTACAACATTCTCATGGTTCTGCTCACTTCACTCAGCATCAGTCCATACAAGTCTTTCCAGGTTTTTCTGAAGTCCACCTGCTCATCATTTCTTATAGCACAATAGTATTCCATTACATTCATATACCACAACTTGTTCAGCCATTCCCCAGTTGATGGGCATAATGGATGCCATATTTGGAACAGCTAGTCTAGTCTGACTAATCCATAGAGTATGTGGAGAAGAATGAAATGAGATAAAGCTGGAAAAGAAAGGACTACATCAGATTATAGAGAGGATTAATTTAAAAAAAATATATATATATATATGTGTGTGTAAGTATGTATTTGATATGAATCTATACTTTCATAGGGTTCCCAATATGGAAGCTGTCCAACAGTGTATCTGTGGCTTATATACTCAGAGGGTTGCCTGCAATACTCAGAAGTTATACAACGTGTCTTTACTCATCTAACTGGTATCCTCAGAGGTGGAATGTGACTCACAGTTTCTCAGTAAGCCGCACTGCTTCTTGTCAGAAAAAAAAAATTAAAAGTTTGAGGTCAATAGGAAGGCACTAAAGCTTTTTGAGCAGAGGAATAAGATGACAGATCTATATGTAATGGAGATGAATCTAGTAGCAGCATGAAGGACAAATTGCATGAGGAAAGGTCTGGCAGGAAGATTGGTTGACCTGCTACTGCAATAGCCTGGTAGTAATGAAAGCCTTTTATCTTTGTTGGAGTCCATGGGAGTAGAGCAGAGAATAAGCATCAGATGTATGCAATGTACACATATGCATATACGGGTTTAACAACCGAAACTATAGAAGCAGTAAGGGGATGCTCATCTATGTACCCTGCCCACTTAGGGGCTGCTATGAAGACTCCTGAGATAATGAGATAATTTATTATTGATAGTGAGGGAAGAATTCAGTGATAACTCCCAAAAGGATTGGGTCATGGGGATTCAGCAGTGATGGGAGAAGTGTCCATTCTTTTAGACCTTGGGTGCTGGTAGCAGTAGAGCAGGAAGCCGGTGGATGACATGTGGTGTTATGTCTTGGTATATTTAATAGCCCCTGGGGTGCATGGCCATTAAACATAAAATGAAAGTTTTGAAGAAAAAAATAACCCCCACGTCTGAAACATGGGAGACAGGGTCAAGATAGGAGAAAGGGAAAAACTAATAAGCTATTTTAGACAAGGTGAGTTTGAGATAGCAGTGGAATTGTTCTGTAGGCAGCTAGAGATGGGGGTGTAGAGCTCAAAAGAAGTCAGGGCTGGAGATAAGGATTTGGGAGTCAGCTCCATGGAGATAGTATTTGAAGCTATTAGAGTGAGTGAGATTGCCAGGGGGATAATGTAGAATACAACCTTGCAAAACACCTATTTTCCAGAGCTCAACAAATGAACAAGTCAAGGAGACCGAGGGGTGGTTAGAGAGGTGGGAGAAGCAGGAGAGTGCGATGTTTCTGAAGCTTAGGAATATGACAGTGTCCAGAAGGAGGGACTGGTCAAACTGCATAATGCTACTGAAAATTCAAGGATAAAGATGGAAAAAGACTGTTGGATTTCATGGTGAGATTTCTGCTGACCAGGTCAAGTCAGGAAGTATTTATTAAGCTCTAACTGTGGGCTAGACACTTGGGCTAAGCTTTGGGAACACAAATACAAGACAGTCTCTGCCGTCAGGGAGCTTACATCCTAATGGATTAAGACAGTACTTAAAAGGAAGATGAAAAGTGTGTATGTGAGGGGGCGG